GTCCAGGTTTAAAGAAGAGGTATTCTATGAATTAAAAAAAATGAAGCATATCGTAGAGTATGTCAAACTTGACAGCAATGAACACATGCTGCCACAATCAACTTCCACTAGATATTATACTACTTTAATTGGCGCCTAAGAATACAACAATATCATAGAAAATGAGATCATTCTTCAAGGTCATGAATATAGTTTCCTATCACAATAATGCAAAGGAATGCAACCTTCTGTAATGGGCAGCTGAACAAAAACTGATCCAGAATAAAAACGATCCTGGGTATAAAAACGATCCCATGAGTGGAGCTAAATGTCACTTCAATTTAGAAAAAAACTAAGATATGGTACGTAAAATTCAATTAAACTTTTTAAAGTATGATCGCCCTCCACATATGACTCATACTCGCGACGGACCTATTCTCTCGGTGCATCAATGTTTAAGTGTTGATTGGCATTCAATTATGTGTCATAGAATTTGTAACCGTAATTAAAAATTACCAGTTTTTTGAAAAGTGATTCGTTACAAGCATTTAAAGACTATGCAATAAACTCATGTATAAATAATAACAATGATGACTGAAATACTTTTGAATGAAGGGCACATTTATATGCTAATCTCAACACATACTACAGTAGCGCGGGGGATTTCTCGGGTGAGTGGAAAATCTATAAAAGAAATGGTTCACCTGACATCGATAACAAAGATAAAAACTTCAGAGTACTATAATGTCACAGTTATTATCAAGTCAGCAAATGGCAATAGCATCTTCCAGGAAAAAAGACTCAAGTACCATAACGTCACAACAACAGGCAGTAAATTCCTGAACGTTTATGTACGTCAACACGGAAGCGCTGGAAGGCCCTGGGTGGAAACTGATGCAAACGGCGCGAGGCTGCGGCAGTGGGCGACAGTGGATTGCGCGTAGGGAAATGGAGCTGGAGGCACGGCTACCAGATGGGACTTTTTTCCGGCCAAATTTGACGACCAGTGCCTTTTTGAACCAGTAGTGAAGCGTGACCAGTAGAAATCTATGTGTGCCTTTAATTTTTTTTATATTTTTCCATGTATAATAACTCCGGGAAATTTAATTGTTACGCTTAATATTACAAATTGAGTGATAAATTTTGCGTTTTGGCCCATTTTGGCCTTTTTGTGAGCGGAATTGGCCGTTTTTCTTGCCAACATCTGGCAACTCTGGCTGGAAGAGTGCACGAGGAAGTGGGGCCATGGGCCTGTTAGCAGCTGACGTTTGGACAGTCTATGCATTGCCGCGTGTCAATCAAATTCATTAGAAGTGCAGATTCTTTTAGCATACGTGACCGGTTTTAGAAGTAGGAGCAAGGTGTTCAATCAAAATAAAAATGACTACGAATGCATATAAAAATTTTTAAATTTTAGCAGTTGCGATTCTGATAAATAAGTAAAGGGTGGGGCATAACCGACTGAGCAGTTTTGAGGCGAAATAAAAGGGTAATGGAGGTACGTAAAGAAAAAAGTTTATTTTCCTCGAGGTTAGCATAAAATACCATTATAATACTTATGCTTTAAAAACTATATCTGCACGGAAGATGGTGGCCGTTAGCTGCAACACACTGTTGGAGTCGTTTTCAGAGAAGGGAGTAACTGTGACAGTGAATTCCGAACGCTATGCGGCAATGTTGCGAAATTTCTTGCAGCCCATGATGGAAAACATTGTTGAAAATGAAGCATTGGAAGACGTGCGGTTCCAGCAGGATGAAGCTACAGCTCACACAGCCCGAATGTCACTCAATGTTTTGAAACGCATGTTTCCCGGACGTCTGGTGTCTCTGAGGAGTGATTTACAGTGGCGTACGAGGTCACCTGATTTGAGCATTTGCGATTTCTTTCTTTGGGGACATCTAAAAGAAAGGGTGTTCAGAAGTTGCCCTCACACCCTACCACAGCTAAGGGGATGGATTATTGCAGAGGTTATGGCCATACCTCGCCATATGTGTGAACGTGCTGTAGGAAACTTCTGAGAACGACTTCAACAGTGTGTTGCAGCTAACGGCCACCATCTTCCTGATATTGTTTTCAAAACATAAGTATTATAAATGGTAGCTAGGTTATGCCAACCTCGAGGAAAATGAACTTTCTGCTTCGTGAACCTCTATTACTCTCTTATTTCGCCTCAAAACTGCTCAATCGGTTGTGCCCCGCCCTGTATAAATAAACAAACTGTGAAATACTTCGACGAGTTCATGTATATGGTCTTCATGTACATTATGTGTCTTCAAACAATGCAACAAGAGGCTCGAAACCTTAGGTGAATAATTGAAGTTTCGTTCTATGAAAGACAATATTTACTCACATCTTTGTTCTGAATCACTGAACTATTTCATTTAAAGATATTGCTGGTAAGGAAGGATAATAAGTATAGTTCTACAGCATATTAGTTGGCGCAATTGAGTTAATTCCGCAGAACAGGAGCGAAGAAGCTGCTCTCCGCGACGTTCACGCCCAGCGGAGCACGCCGCTCAGCGACGCCCACGAGCGTCTCATCTGGCGCCGCGAGCCTCGCGCGCTGCAGCAGCTGCCTCACCCGCCATGCAGACGTATACAGCGCCTTGCAAACGCCTCGCTGCGCCATGCAAACGCCTCGCCATGCCGTGCAAACGCATCGCCGCGCCGTGCAAACGCCTCGCTGCGCCATGCAAACGCCTCGCCACGCCATGCAAACGCCTCGCTGCGCCATGCAAACGCCTCGCCACGCCTTGAAGACGCCTTACCGCGCCGTGCAAACGCCTCGTCACGCCTTGCAAACGCCTCGCCGCGCCTTGCAAGCGCCTCGCCGCGCCTTGCAAGCGCCTCGTCGCGCCTTGCAAACGCCTCACCGCGTCTTAACCTTAAAAGCCTCACCCTGCCTGGCAAACGTCACTGCAGTTATCAAACTGTTTTGACGAGAAAGGCTGCTGCCAGACTCAGCATCCGCATTTATTCTCACAATAAAGCAAATTACGTGTAAATATAACTACGAATCACTGACTGTGTGGTGTTGCTGTTGTTATACTAGAACAGGTCACGAGGTCAACAGCGCTCACCAATATGTTCCGAGCACCGTTAGGCTTAACCGCACTGTTATGACCTAATAGTTGTAACAAGTATATATGGGGGCCATTAAAATTCTTGCCGCCCATCGTAACAAAGTAAAAGAGGCCTTCACTTTGCCTAAAAATTAGCAGAAATAAGGATGAACAGGAACGTGCATTGAAGCCTCGATAGGAATACATTCTTATTGCCGAGCACAAAACTAGTTAAGGCATAATAGCATAAATTAGGTCTCGAATCTGGCGTATACGATAAATACATTTTGTGTTTCTCGACCAAAAATAATATAAACTGATTGGAGCAAGGAACAAATAAATGGCTGATTTTAACAAACGCTGTCGTGAATGCAACAGCGAATAACTTCCGAATTAAAACATCAAAGTTGTCAACAATAAATGAAATCGTGAACGTTCTTTGCGAGACGCGCGATGACCAATGTCTGAAGATTAGCTCATCGGCCTGTTCAAGTTTTCAGCGGAAGTAAAGAGGCCTCAGCGGAGGTCTCGAGACCTCAGAGGAGGTGACGAGCCCTCAGAGGAGGTCACGAGCCCTCAGAGGAGGTCACGAGCCCTCAGAGGAGGTCACGAGCCCTCAGAGGAGGTCACGAGGCCTCAGAAGAGGTCACGAGGCCTCAGCGGAGGTCAAGAGTCCTCAGCTGAGGTCACGAGGCCTCAGCGGAGGTCACGAGGCCTCAGAGGAGGTCACGAGGCCCTCACAGGAGATCGCGAGGCCTCAGAAGAGGTCACGAGGCCTCACGGAGGTCACGAGGCCTCAGCGGAGGTCAAGAGGCCTCACGGAGGTCTCGAGGCCTCAGCACATCAGGAAGCACAGGCCGCCTGGAGCCCCAAGCAGGCCACAGGGCACGGTGCTGAACATTGTTTCCGCATTAGACGTCATGATCACTTAAATATCCATTTATTGCAAGCAAATACGGGTCGAACAATAATACTTACAGGAAAAAACCTTAAATTCTATGTGAGAGCAACATCGATGTCAAGTGTGTATGTCAATCGAATTTAGAATAATTCAAAATATTCGTGAATAATTTGAAGACCTTCGTTTTGAAAAATTCACAGCAATTATGCAATTTAACGAACGCATTGCCAAATATTTGCAGGGAGAGAATAATTGCCTTCTGATTCCGGCATTACCTTAAGAGCACCATTACCTTCTATATCTGTAAAGCAGCAGTTAGATAAATCGACAAGTTTTGTGGCGCTTGAAGATTACTATTTTGGAAATTCAGCATTATTCTTCCCACTAAAAAATCATTTGCTACAATGTCATATTCTAACAATTGACCTTTTTTCTATCAGCAATGCCATAACTCAGTGAAACAATGAGTTTTTTTTCCTACGATAAAAGAGTGAAGTGCTACGCGGTGCTGGCGAATGAAGATGTAGGCAGTGCCAGTAAAAAGTGAAAGGAACGCTAGCAGGCTGAAGCTTAGGCAGCGGAAGCGACTGAATACAATGGACGAATTTTGGAGGTGATTCTCACGCGAATAAGCTAGAACTTTAATTTTGTAATAATCTGAAGTAAGCGTTTCGGGTGAGTGGTTCAATAGACTAGAGGAAAACTCTGCGAACCTCTACATAAAAAGGTAGCGCTCTGGCCCAACAAATTGAGAAAGGTAACAGCTCATAAGTCGCGGCGATAAACCGTGAATATAAAATTTGGTATTTACTGTGGATTCTAAAATATGAGCTTCACATTCAAATAGAAGGTTATAGATTTGTTTTAAGCAGTTTAGGTAATAGAACTTTAACGAGAGAAGTAGAACAGTTACCTATACCTTCACTTGAGAAGTAGAACAGTTACCTGTATCCGCAAGCTGACTTCGCTTCTAAGTAAAATATTAAAAATAGAAATTTTTAATAATTAAAGCATTTAGAAATGATGCACGCAGTAAAATAGAATATATAATACTGACCGAATACTTGGATTAGTGGCAGAAGTAACAGCAGCAACAGCAGTTGAGAGGAATCCTGTCTCTTCAACGACACTTTCCATCCACATCGCATTTCGAACCGTAAAATATCCTAAACTTTGATTACTCAACACTCTTTTCCAGCTCTCCTCTGGATTTTCAGAACTTCAGGCTCCCTATCAACTCAGGAACGTGAGTGAGGCGGGAAGCCTTGGAGCTTTGACTGGGAGGTTCACCTTGCAATGGAGGAACGACGTACACACACCTCCTCCCTCCACAATAGCCATTGCAACACTGCTGGAGCTGGATGAGGATCTTTCATCTTTGCCCGTTGGAGTTGGACGAGCGACAGGCCGCCAGCTCGGATTTCAAAAGATTCAGCCAAAATTTAGCAACTCTGTAAATGTCAACCTATGATCGCCAGGGTCGCAAGTTATAAAATTTTCACCCTAGCAAGATTACCCTCTCATTTTATTGCTCAGCATAATTGAAGTTGTGCCGTTATTCCTATTTGGAACAGAGACGAATTTCACAGACTTGAAAATTGTGAATTTAGACGAAAAATAGGGCAATCAATCACAAGGAGGTCACACAAGCTTTGTGACCGGCAACAAATTAAATAATGCAACACCTTAAATTACAGCCATTTCCTTGCATTTTGCAAATCGAAAATCAATTCAAAAGAACTACTGTGTGTAAAAGAGCGTCACAAGAGGAAATTGTAACCGGGTTTCCCTTCAAAAGGAAACTAAGCTCGTTTGGCTACGACCAGTCAGCCAAGGTCAGAGCGGTCGAGTTTCGGGAAATTCAATTCTAATGAATATGATCGATCATCAACGGCTTATGTGTTTGATTATATCCACAAATGATAACTTTTGCTGTCTCGATACGTGAAACTAAATTATTCAAGCCCCTATGGCAAAGTGCGCCTTCTATCTATCTCACAATTTCGAATGATGAATGACAACAACAGTAAACTCGACTCATATTCTTTCTATGATTAAATACTGACTTGCTGGAGTCGAGATGTACCAGATCCAGGTGCTGATATGGACAAAAATTCGAAAAATAATTCAATTGTTAGCTTTAAGACGAGAGGAGAGCGTAAACACTGTATGGTTGTTTATTTAGGATTACAATAGTTAATTTTTTTACCCGATACCCAAGTTTTAGTATATTTTGCATTTTCCGAATAATCTTCCGCTTTCTTTCCTATAACGAAAACATTTCATTTTTATTCTAACTGATACTATTTGTTGTCGTATACCGTTGATATATATTTGCTTCGTTTCCATATACGCTTTTTTTAATCAAAACAAAACAATTCTTCCAAATATTTATGATCTGTACAACTGGAAATAACTTTAATTAAACATTCACATAGGACATAATTTGATATGTGATTTATACAGGCGCTATATTAAATTTATTTATTAATTCGCGAGTACATTGAAAAACTGGCCAAATCGATAAATAAGAACGGCTGGATGATCAGGATTGTTGAATAAATATCGATTCAGTAAGTTGCAAAACGTTCGTGAGACTCCACAGACAGAAATTCCAATATTTGGATTGCGGCGAATTAAGTTCGTTCTTTTACCTATTGACGTCGTGCGCCATAATAAATTCTGTAATATAGATGTATGTCGTACACCAAAATTCAATGAACGTACATGTACTGCAGCGCGATCACACAAAGCTAAGTCTCATGTGCAGCTGTAAACGAACATATTTGAGCGACTACAAACCTTTAATCAGTAGTGTTGACCTCTTTTGTAATCTCGAAAGCGACCATTTTATAGTGTGAAGTAACTAATTTGATATAATTCTATATGATAATTTACTATAATATAAAATATAAACATAAAATATTTTATGCGTAGGTTCAGCATCCAAATGAGCTACCGTTTCAGAGCAGAAAATCCCGTTTCGTGAGTCTCAAACGAAACGTCGAAAAAACAACGTCAATTCGTTCCAATATTTTGGAACCCTTTGCCATACAAGCCATTTCTAAAATTCTTTCAGAAATATTTGCTTATATTAGAAAGCAAACCTAATGTAAATTCTTCGGTAGTGTTTTTGAATTATTTTGATGACTAAAAGCTATTTTGCATGGAATGCTACGATGCTTGAAAAAATATTTTCTTGTACTACGCGATTGTCGGCGCGATAATGATATAGCCCTTCCTTCACCCTCCTTTTAGCCCATTGGAGCTCAACAACAACAACGTTATCGAGACAGAGGGTTAGACTCATTTGGGATCGCCATTTCGCATCTTGAACGTATAACAAGCATTTTATGGGTTAGAAACCACTTAGATGTTTTCCGTGTGACTTTGTTGAATGCAATATGATTTATAATCAAAATCAATATAGAAATGCTCAACTATTAACACGAGTATAGAAAAAGGTAATAATAACAGTAATAATTCTAATTTTAAATATAATTATGATTTTTTAATATTATTATTATAAGATTCATTTTAATAATAATAATAATAGTAATAATAATAATAGTAATAATAATAATAATAATAATAATAACAATAAATAACAATAATGAATATTGCATTGCACAACGACAATATAAGGTCGAAGATGTAAATAACTCTCGGCCTAAGCCTATTTTATTATTATTACCACGTTTTTCTTAGCTCGCTTTCGTGTCTGTGATGATCAAATCTTGCAATCGATATTTCACCAACTTTCCCGCTAGCTAGCGCTCTGAAACTTGAAATTTAATACACTTCTACTTTTCCTATGGATCTGAAATTTTGCACACTTGTGTAAAGTTGGAGACAATGCATGAATCAAATGTCAAAATAAAAGATTTCAAAAATTAAAAAAAAATTTTTTCAATATCAAAAAAATTGAAAAAATAATTTTGTCAGCTACAAATCTTATAACTGATATTTGACTCACTTTTACCTGTCTGATTGATCTGAAAATTTGCACACTTGTGTGAAGTCAGAGGCAATGCATGAATCAATTAATAGAATAAATAATTTTGGAAAAAATTATATATTAAAAAATTTATATATTAAAAAAAATTGAAAAACTAATTTTTTAATTTGAAAATTAAATGAGAATTCATTGTACATTTGTAAGATTGGAGACACTGGATTCTTTGGAAGTGTTGTCTTTAAAAAGTAATTTTTAAACGCATATTTTACAACACTTCTCTTTAACTTCACTTCTTGTTTGTCTGTCTGTCTGTCTGTCTGTCTGCTACAAATCTTGTAATTGAAACTTAATACACTGCTACTCGTCCTATCGATCTGAAATTTTGCACACTTGTGTAAAGTTGGAGACAATGCATGAATCGAATGTCAAAATAAATTATTTTTAAAATTGAAAAAAAAATTTCAAAATTAGAAAAATTGAAAAAATAATTATGTCAGCTCCAAATCTTATAACTGATATTTGACACACTTTTACCTGTCCAATTGATCTGGAATTTTGCACATTTGTGTGAAGTCAGAGGCAATGCATGAATCAATTAACAGAATAAATAATTTTGGCCAAAAATTTATATATTAAAAAAATTTATATATATTAAAAAAATTGAAAAGTTAATTTTTTAAATTTTTTAAAATTAGATAAGAAATTCATTGTACATCTGTAAGATGGGAGATACTGGATTCTTTGGAAGTGTTGTCTTTAAAAAGTAATTTTTAGATGCATATTATTTTAACTTCACTTCTTGTCTGTTTGTCTGCTACAAATCTTGTAATCAAAATTTAATACACTTCTACTTATCCTATCGATCTGAAATTTTGCACACATGTGTAAAGTTGGAGACAATGCATGAATCAAATGTCAAAATAAATGATTTTTAAAATTAAAAAAAAAATCAATATTAAAAAAATTGAAAAAATAATTTTGTCACCTACAAATCTTATAACTGATAATTGACACACTTTTATCAGTCTAATTGATCTGAAATTTTGCACACTTGTGTGAAGTCAGAGGCAATGCATGAATCGATTAATAGAATAAATAATTTTAAAAAATTTATATATTAAAAAAATTATATAGGTATTAAAAAAATTGAAAAATTAATTTTTTTTAATATTCAAAAATTAAATGAGAAATTCATTGTACATGTGTAAGATTGGAGAAACTGGATTCTTTTGAAGTGTTGTCTTTAATAAGTAATTTTCAAACGTATATTAATAATTTTAATTCATTGTGAAGAGTGTGGAACATGAGAATATTGAAGTTTCTCCTGATATTTTATTTTCTTTTCTTTCATTGGGAAGAGAAATCACTTATTTACTGGCAAACTTCGTTAATACGCCCAAATCATGTTCTCTTATGTCTCGGATACATTTACAGTCGTCAATGCTATTTGTACCTAGTGGTTTGGGACCGAAAAATTCCGTCAGTTACGAAAGGGTTAATAGTCCACGCTATTATGCGATGAACAAATTGTTGCAGATTTAACAGCGTTTCTTGCGTTGATTCCGTCTGATAGCAATTCAACGTTTTTTTGCGTTGAATGTCAACTTGATGGCAGAATAGTGTTGACTACCTATTAAAAAAGGAAAATTCAAAAGAGCACAGCCAAAAAACACCAAAAGAAGATTTGTTGGGTAAGTAATGCATGTTAAAAAAATTATAATAATTTTACAGCAAATATGTATCACTATTAATCTTACTCCTGCTAAATATTGTTGTGTGATTAGCCTCTTGTTGAAATAAGACTCATAATTAATTATTATTAAACTTTTTCGTTTCTTTAGTTTTTCAGGATAGATCAAAATTATTTTAAATGCAAGTCTTACCAGTTAGTATTAGGGAAAAGCAATATCATTTTTAAAATCAGTAAAAAATTATGTAAGGTTTCACTTAACATAATTAAAAACGTTCTTTTGCAGCTGTGAGGTGGAAGAGGATTCCATGTTGACAGCAGTTGAACATTTACTCAGACCTGTATTACCCATCGGTATGTAGCACACCAGCAGGTTTTCAACAACTTCCCAGTGATATGACCATAGTAAATCTCATTCGTTAGTATCATACAATTTAAACCTTTTTAAATTATGGCCAGAAGCTACCTTATACATCTGCAACCATGGATCCTTAGCTCTATACCTCCTCGAATCAAATAGAAAATAATCGAAGAGTGTCATTTGATATCAACAGATACAAATTCACCTTTCCTCATTAATTGGCCTTTCTTGGAAAATTTATCATATATTTACTAAGCTTTAATCTAAATAATGGGTGTTAAAGTTGGAAGCAATTTTTTTTAAATTCCCGCACATTTATCAGAGT